GGGCAGGGCGGTATACACAGACAGGGCAGGGCGGTATACACAGACAGAGCTGAGCAGTATACACAGACAGAGCTAGGCAGTATACACAGACAGAGCAGGGCAGCTTGGACAGACACAGGACCAAAAGGACAGAAGGGCTTCCATTTGTTAATGCCTTACTCACTTTGTCAGCTGCAGCATGGCTGTGCTAATATTGTGACCAGTACAGGCACTACACTCATAGAACATGATGTTGTACTCCTAGAGAGAGAGAGAGAGGGGCGAATGAGAATAAGTTAGTGCCCACAGTCACTGAGTTTTAGAAACAGTGACATACTCCATCACTTCACAAACAGTTCCTGAAGCTGCTCAGGGACCCCTCTGACATCCATGATGCTACAAGAGTGCAGTCACTGAGCTCAATGGGATCAGTGTAACGAGAAACAAGTTCAGGTCCCATCAGTGGTTGGCTGGACGATTGCACCTGCATTGCGATCATTCAGAGTGAAGTGGACAAGGTCCCCATTTTTGGGATTTTTAGTGGAGAGAAGGCTGGTCTCAGCATGCCCCGAGCAAGGTCCATCCAGCTCCCATCCACTGACTTCTGCTGTAAACAGGCGTGTGGACGCTGGGCGAGGTGCCAGCGCTGATGAACCCATGTGAGCAGAGTCTGTCAGGCTGACCTCACATCTGGAGAAGATCTGACACAGAGGGAGCCAACAGCAGCACTAGGGGAGGACATGTTCCTCTGAGCTGGCTGTAATGGTGGCTGTACTGGAGCACTCACTGTCAATAACAGGCACCAACCTGAGCAAGACGCTGCCCCTCGGGGGTGGGCACTTGACGGTGAGCAACATCATCTGTCTTGTTCCCCAGGAGAAGAATGGCAACATTATCATCCACTGTTTCCTGGGAAGAGAGTTGGAAAGGCAACACGAGGGATGGAGGAAGAGATGGACAGGAAGAAGGAGATAGAGAAAGAGAGGAAGGGATGGAGACATTATGGTAGGAAAAGAAAGAGAGATGGAGTGAGAGAAACATAGGTGGGGAAGAGGAATGAAGGGTGACAAAGAAAGAGATTCAGCAAGAGGAAGAGAGAGGTGAATTGAGAGAGAAATGGCGGGAGAAAAATGGAGAGGTGGATAGAGAAAAAGAAAGAAGGAGGAAGAGAAAAATGGTATAAGGGAGGACACAGGAGTGAGGGAGGGACAGAGAGAAAGGGGGAAGATGCAATATAACAGAAGTGCAGGGAAAGAGAGAGAATAAGAGGCAGAGGGAGGAAAGTAGAAAGATGGAGGAGGAGGGAATACAGGGAATGGAAAAATAGATAGAGAGACGAGGGCAGATAGAAAGAAGAGACGGTGAACAGTATGGAAAGCGGGGAGGGATAGATATTGATTGGGACAGAAAGAGCGAAACAGAAGGATGGAGAGACAGAATCAGAGTGCAAGTGATAGAAAGATGGAGGAAAAAGGGGTGTGGGAGAAAGGCAGAAGAGACAAGAGAAAGAGTGAAAGAGAAATGGAGGGAGAGCGAGAGGGAGAGCAGAAAGGTTGAAGAGTGAGAGGAAGATATGACTTGTCATATTGAGCATTTTATGGAATTTTCACAATCACTGAATTTAAGTTTGGATAAAACTGTGTGTTTTTAACACAGATTCCACACTTCTCATACATCAACATCCAATGAAGTGTTCTGAAGCTCCAAAAACCCCATTCCAATGTATAGTTGACCTGACGGTAATTACTGCTCAAAGGATAAATGATACCTGGAGGAATTCCCCTGCTTTTCTTCCAGTGGAAATACAGGATATTTTACAATTGCCCAAAGGAGCAGCAGGCTCCCAGTTTGATGGAACATTCAAAAAACAGCACCTCATCCAGTGTCGGTAATACAGCATTCCCTTAGCACACCACTGGAGTATCAGTTCTCAAGCCTCTGGGCACAGACCCAATTAAATTACTCCTCTACATGGCTCTGAGCACAAAGAAGCAACATGAGGCATGAAGGTCACCCCAAGAGATCACTGTAATTTGTAACATAGATGTCGGTGACATTGTCTATTTTTTCTGTACATTACAGGAACACACAATGACCCTGTCAAACGCAATCTTTCCACTGGCTGTGCTTTCATTCATAATTCTTTCACAAGGTTTGAGCATCGCTGGTTAGGCCAGCATGTATTGCCTGTCCCTAATTGCCCCTTGAGAAGGTGGTTGTGAGCTGCCTTCTTGCACCACTGCAGCCAATGGGGTGTAGGTACAGCCATGCTGCCATTAGGGAGGGAGTTTCAGGATTTTGCAGCAATACTGAAGGAGGAGTGACATATGTCCAAATCAGGATGGTGAGTGCGTTGGAGGGGAATTTGCAGGGGGTGGTGGTCCCATGTAGCTGCCACCCTTGTCCTTCCAGGTGGAAGTGGTCATGGGTTTGGAAGGTACTAAGGAGCTTTGGTGAATTTTTGCAGTGCACCTTGGGAATGAATGTTTGTGGATGTGGTGCCAAACAAGCAGCTGCTTTGTCCTGGATGGTGTCAAGCTTCTTGAGTGTTGTTGGGGCTGCACCCATCCAGGCAAGTGGGGAGTATTCCATCACACTCCTGACTTGCACCTTGTAGATGGTGGACAGGCTTTGGGGAGTCAGGAGGGGAGTTACTAGAATTCCTAGCCTCTGATCTGCTGTTGTAGCCACATTACTAGTATGTCTAGTTCAGTTCAGTTGCTGGTTATTGGTAGCCCCAGCCTGTTGACAGTGGAGGGGGTTCAGTGACGGTAATACCTTTGCATATCAAGGAGCAGTGATTAGATTCTCTGTAGTTGGCAATGGTTATCGGACACAGGTTGCTTCGGTATCTCAGGAGTCACGAATGATGCTGTCAGACAATGCAGTCTGCAGTGATCCATAACTGTTTTCCACTAAAAGCTGGGAAAAACAGAACTATTATCTTCAGCCCCTTTCCACAGGGCTCAGTGTCATCGCTACTGACAGTGCTGTACTTCACTGCCTGAGGCTGAGCCAGCAGTGTCAAGAGTGGCATTAGTGAGCCAAGCCTGGCATGAAGAAGGACAGTACTACAGCGGCTGAGCATGACCTCAAATGGGCCTTGCAGACCTTAGATCGTCTGTCAGAAAAATCAGATCCATATTGGCAAATAGCAGTCTACTTCAGTCTGTCTTCAGTAACCTTCTAGCCAGACCTATCCCTGAGGTCTGAGAGTCCTCATCCAGAGTATGTGCAGCATAAAGTGCCTGAAACTGAAGGTTTCTTACCTTGATAGATCCCAGCCAGTAGCGTACCTCAGTGAACGAGCTGGACGATGTAATGTCATACATCACGATCACTCCATCAGCCTTCCTGAAGAACTGTTTGGTTAAACTGCGGAATCTGAGATGATACAGGAAAGGAACAGTCAGAGACATGGGCAACAAGTGAGATAGCTAATCACTGAAGGGTTGAGGATCACATGACTCGCCATTAGCTAATTTCCACTTCCTGTCATGGCTATTTCTATTTCTTGAGACACGTAATGCCACCGGAACAGGAAGGCTGTGCAAGTTGGGGTTAGGGATAGGGCTGTATGGGTTGGGGTTAGGGTTAGGGGTAGGGTTGTGCGGGTTGGGGTTAGGGTTAGGGTTAGGGCTAGGGCTGTGTAGGTTGGGGTTAGGGTTGGGGCTGTGTGGGTTGGGGTTAGGGTTAGGG